CTTTCAAATAAATGCTCTGACTAAAAACTTTTTAAAGAAATTTTCTTAATTTTCAGATTGCAAACACAGCCATTGCTCTGAAAAAGAAAAATTTCCTGCATGACACAATTGCTATTTTTTTTAGACTGGCTGTAATAGACAAGTCACAATCGAAACCTCAGCTTTGTTCAGTATCATTTGGTATAAATATTCATTGAATATTATAGTTTTTAATTTATTTACATGTATATTTACGGTAATAATTTTATTTAAGTTCCTTGAATTAATGTTCTTTAAAGCTTATAACATTCGCATGTTCACTCATTGGGCTGCTACCTATGGGCTCAACAGTCTGTCAAAATGTATACATGAACACATCATACGAGAGATACACTGTAGTATGGTTTCAGAACTTTTTTCCCATTATAATAGGAGGTTATAAATAGAAAATTTTCAAGTTTGGTCAGGGCTAGTGAATTTATGGTCAGAGCTAGTAAAAATTATGGGAAGTAGCACGACTGATCTAGCACTGCATGAAAATTTGGCTTTACAAAACAAGTAAAGATAATGTAAATTTATTATTTACAATGCCTTTAATTGGCTTTTCTGAAAAAAGTCAAAGTTGGAAAAGGTAACCTTTACATTAACTTTACATGCACTTAAATATGATGTAATGTCCCACTTTTTCTTGACTTTACAAAAAAGTAAAGTTAATATTTACAAACATTAAACACAGTATTTGGGGTTCATTAAAGCTGATAATTACAAATCTTAAATTTAATTAAATACCATCTTTAATAGCCACAAAAGTTAATAATTACTTTTTCCATTCTTCTGAATAAAGCTTGTGCATATAATAAATAAGCTTTTCCTTTCAAATTGAAACTGCAAAAGAAGTCTGGACATCATACTTAATATACAAAGTAACAACAGATTGACTTAAACTTTCTTTATTACTATACCAAACATTTTTATACAAACATATAATCAAAAACATCAAATTTCTTGACAGTATCTGTTGTTCATAGTCTATCCTGCAAATCCAATACACATAAATAAGTATCCAGGACAGAGTACACTTCACCAAAATCCTTTTCAAACATGTCATTTTGTTTTGTATAAAGAACCAATTTTTCATCCTTGAATTTAAAGATTTGAATTGACATGAAACTGTGCTCTGCTTTCTTGTTACTGAACATGCATTTCTGTGGAAATCAACAACTGTCCAAATATATATTTTGTCACATCTTCCTTTTCAGAGTCCAAAACTTTTATTCCCATGCAGGCAGTCTTCTATTGTTTTCCTTCAAAGAAAAAAAAAATATATATATATATATATTTTCAGTGACATGAATATGAATATTTTCATAGGCATCTGTGTTATAAATTCAAATAAACTGTGATATCAGTATTCACAGTATCATGACTAATGAAAATTGAAACAAGATGCAACCATATTAATAAATAAAAATTTCATACATGACCTTTAACCTCAAAAAGAAAATATTTTGAACCATTAATGTCAGTCTTTATTTTTACCAAAAAAATGATGCTAATCTTATTAAATAAGACAGGTACAAACAGATGAACATGTTGTTATTAACTTATTTTATAATATAAATGGACTGGGCCACTAGCCCTTATCTTACCCCTAAGATTAAAATTTAATAACTCTGTAATTTCTTTGTTTATCATTACCTAATTTTTCTTTTGAAAGGATTATTTACAAAATATACTAATGTAGGAGTAATATAAGATTTCTCGTGACCTTCTGTAGCTAAGATACTTTTGCAGAATTGGAAAATGTTTGTCTTACTTGCAAGATAATTTGTGAAAAAGTACTGGCATCAGTATCTATGGATAATTACTGAACACATATAATTAACTCCATTTTCCTTCTTAGTAATCAGGTAACAAAAGGACCAATAGTTGCTGCTTATCGAGCTATAGTATGATACTCTAGTTATGGTTTAGGATATATGTACCTTTCTCCCAGTAGCATGTTGCTGCTCATGAATTATTTCCTGATCTTGGAATTTTAAAAGTTGACAGGTCCCTCATTTTGAAGATAACATGCTAAAATGGAATTCATACTTTGATAAACATTTCATACCTCTGGATAAATATAGTCAATGTTTTCATAAATACTTTGGAGTTTGAAGCATACCAAAGAATGATTTTAAAAATACACAATGCAATCACAGTTAATAGTTATGAATTGCCAAACACCCTTATGTTTGTTTTCTTCACAATTAAAGAATACTTTAGGTCTAAGCAATACTTGCCATCTATAAAATTAAACTATTGAACCCTTCTCAAGCGTTTCTTCTTCTTGAAAGATCTGTCAATAAGGTGTTAACTCTCTCACAGTAAGCTGAGTAGATGGAGCCTGGAAAAAGTAGTAACACATTTTTTGAAAACAGAAATGTATAATTATACTGACTCCCGAACAAGTCAAGCAATTGATAATGTAAATAATTGTTTAAGTAATATTTTAATGATACCATTTATTGATTTTTTTAAAACTAATACGTACAAGTACCATCAAACAAGAGGCCCATGGGCCACATCACTCACCTGAGTAACTTTGGCCATGCTGTTCTTTACCAGATTTCCCCCTTTTAATATACCTATTGTGGCCCCGCCCTACCACCGGGGGTCAAAATTTGAACAATTTAGAATCTACACTACCTCAGGATGCTTTCAAATATGTCTCAGCTTTATTGGTCCAGTGGTTCTTGAAAAGAAAATTTTTAAAGGTTTTTCTTTAAGTTATATATTTCAATGTAAAACTTGGGTTCCCTATTGTGGCCCCGCCCTACCTTCGAGGGTCAAGATTTGAACAATTTATAATCTACACTACCCTAGGATGCTTCCATATAAGTTTCAGCTTTTCTGGCCCAGTGGTTCTTGAGAAGAAGATTTTTAAAGATTTTTCTCATGTTTTTCAATGTAAAATTTGGACTCCCTATTATGGCCCCGCCCTACCCCCGGGGGTCATGATTTGAACAATTTAGAATCTACACTACCCCAGGATGCTTCCACATAAGTTTCAGCTTTTCTGGCCCAGTGGTTCTTGAGAAGAAGATTTGTAAAGATTTTTCCTATATATTTCAATGTAAAACTTGGATTCCCTACTGTGGCCCTGCCCTACCCCCGGGGGTCATGATTTGAACAGTTTAGATTCTACACTACCCCAGGATGCTTCCATATAAGTTTCAGCTTTTCTGGCCCAGTGGTTCTTGAGAAGAAGATTTTTTAAGATTTTTCCTATATATTTCAATGTAAAACTTGGATTCCCTATTGTGGCCCCGCCCTACCCCCAGGGGTCATGATTTGAACAATTTAGATTCTACACTACCCCAGGATGCTTCCACATAAGTTTCAGTATTTCTGGCCCAGTGGTTCTTGAGAAGAAGATTTTTAAAGATTTTTCCTATATATTTCAATGTAAAACTTGGATTCCCTATTGTGGCCCCGCCCTACCCCCGGGGATCATGATTTGAACAATTAAGATTCTACACTACCCCAGGATGCTTCCACATAAGTTTCAGTATTTCTGGCCCAGTGGTTCTTGAGAAGAAGATTTTTAAAGATTTTTCCTATATATTTCAATGTAAAACTTGGATTCCCTATTGTGGCCCCGCCCTACCCCCGGGGGTCATGATTTTAACAATTTAGAATCTACACTACCCCAGGATGCTTCCATATAAGTTTCAGTATTTCTGGCCCAGTGGTTCTTGAGAAGAAGATTTTTAAAGATTTTTCCTGTATATTTCAATGTAAAACTTGGATTCCCTATTATGGCCCCGCCCTACCCCCGGGGGTCATGATTTTAACAATTTAGAATCTACACTATCCCAGGATGCTTCCACATAAGTTTCAGCTTTTCTGGCCCAGTGGTTCTTGAGAAGAAGATTTTTTAATGACCCCACCCTATTTTTGTCTTTTCTTGATTATCTCCCCTTGTAAGGGGACTTGGCCCTTTATTTTAACAATTTACACTCCCCTTAACCCAAGGATACTTTGTACCAAGTTTGGTTAAAATTGGCCCAGTGGTTCTTGAGAAGAAGATGAAAATGTGAAAAGTTTACAGACGGACGGACAGACGGACAGACGGACGGACGGACGGACAGACGGACGGACGACGGACAACGGGTGATCAGAAAAGCTCACTTGAGCTTTCAGCTCAGGTGAGCTAAAAACATTGGTATCCCTTGGTCTGGTAAATCATACATTGTTGTCATCCATGATTTTTTTCCTTCAAGAACCTGCATAATTGATTTCACTGTACCTGTTTCTGAAAAAATGGACATGGTTTAGAATACAAAATAATATCTATAAAATATAACCTAACTTGCCCTCTATTAAGAACATTGCCCCATGGCTTCTATTTTTTTTCTTCTAGCATTAATCTTAATTCTAAAACTGTGACCTAGAATTGTTTTTTCTTGGTCTTGTTTAACCCATGATCCTTTACAGAAAAAATGGAACATTATCCCCAATTTATCAAGTTACTTATCTAAAATACATATTTAGCGTAGTTTTTCCTGACTTTCATCAGTTTCAATGTTCCACAATGTATGCTGAAAACAGATGGAAAACGTAAACAAACCTGCACTGCAGTGCATGCCAATTGCCAGCCCGGGAGCTCGAGCAGTTTTCCAAGCAATAACCTCCTTAAATCTACCGGTCGATGAAAAGGTATTAAATCAACTGATCCCTGGTTTCATATTTTCGTCAAAAATACCAGAAAATTCTATGAGACCCGCTCAACTTGATTTGAAATGATTGGCTATTCAACCGAATACACAGTGCCATATTTGGGTTACTGTTAAAAGTAAATCGTTCGTTTTGTATTCGAGAAGACTTGAATGAAGAGGATTACATAATACTGAGGTAGAAAACATCGGTATAATATGATAATATATATTTCAGAATTTTAAAGTAAAGGCTGTCAAATGAACGGGGCATATTACTGATATTACCTCTAATAAACAAAACCAATAAGCGTATGACTTATTCAGGGCACTTGCAATGTATGGGAACCAGTCTACAAGGCCACAAAATTCCGCCAAGAATAAACAAAGAAATTGCGGGATGTTGTTTACGTGTGTCACTCGACACTGACTGCAAGGTATTGAAAATGTGCTTAATTGTTGTGTATAACTGTTTTCTGTCTTTCAAGATATTGAAACAGTCGTTTAACATTTCAAACGTAACATCGGGGGGGGGGGGGGGGGGGGGGGGGAGGGGTCACCTCTTAATAATTTACTGCATCAACTACCACTGTGTATAGTGTCAAGATATAATAAATTAAAATGAAAAAAAATCATTAAATTTTTTTTTATAGATTTAGGACAGCTAAATAAAGGGGCGACTATTTTTTGTTTGATGCGGGGGAGGGGGGAAGGGGGTAAAAATATATTAACCTCAAAAATGTTTAAAAGATATAATCTCATCTCAACTGAAAAAAATGATTAATAATCTTTCCTTGTCTGATGCCATTATTTCCTTTACCTCACTGAATTAAGAATTTCTGAGTCAGTTTATTTCCTTTTGTAGTGGTGATGGAGGGGGGGATCAAACTTTGTTCATTTGAGATAAACATGAATTATATGTCCCTGATTATTAAGGAAATCAAATATTCTATTCATCACTGGCTGGAAAATAATTAATCAGACTTAACAGTCAAAAAATTACCTTTTCATAATTTATCTTTTGTAGAAACAAAGAGTGGAGAGCTAATGCATGGTGCTAAGTATGGAAATGTCTCTTGTGGATTGGTTGTGCCAGAGACAAATGTACATTATTTCTATGTTGGGTAATGTCCTTAAGAATGGAAGTTTTTTTCAATTACAAGGGACATGACTTTTTCATATGTTATCACTGTACAGAGATCAAAATATTTTTAAACATTGTTAGGTACTCACTACATTATTCCATCTTTAGAAAAGTATTTAAAATTATTTTCTCACATTTTTTAAAGAGACCAATATTGTGAAGAGATTTTTTTATTTTAATCTTGAATTTGGATATTATACAGGTCAGAAGTCTCGGTACACTTTGGGTGAGTGGCAGTTGGGAAGATGGAAGACCTTCAGATAGTTTGAGATGAAGAAGTTTTTTTAAATGATTGAAAGTGATCATCATAGAATCAACTCTATTATGAAGATAATTTACGAGCAAGTCAGGTGAGGAATTGACTTCAATGTGTTATCACATTGTGTAAATGAATCTTCATTATTAAGATCTTTTACATTTCATTTTTATATATGAACTTGCTTTTCTATTATTCTAAACTTCCAAAAATAAAATTAAAGTAGTTAAAGCATGCTACAAACATTTTAAGTATCTTGGCAAGTTTTCAGGGATATTGCAGATGTGCTTTAATTTCAAAAGATAACTAATTTATGCAAACCTGGAAAAGAAATGGATGTTATTATCTATAATTTCGAAGATTATGTTTATTATTAGCACTCCTTTTGTCCAACACCCAAGAAATCTGAGTATCCATCCTACTGTTGAATTAACTGGTGACCAAGAAAAGATGACAGAGAGGGGAATCAAATATGGATGCCATTGTGATCAAACATATACACACAGACTAGAAAATATCTGAAAATTTATAGATGAACATTCAAGCAATTATAATAATGAAAGTTATTCAGCAAGAGAGTTTTTGCACAAGTTTAATTTCAGTAAAATTGTGTATATTGTGCACAGAGGAACTTAGTATGTAACTCTTTATGATTATCCATTTCTTTAGAGGATGTATTAGGAGTATATTTAAATAATCATTATCTTGTAGAAAAGAGCACACAAAAATTTTCTCTCTGTGTGAAGCAAGACACAAATGCATACACTCAAGCATTAACCACAACCACTGTTACATATTTTCCAGGGCATGTGAAGTCGAGCACATACATGAAAATGTGTGAAGCTGGACACATATGCAAACACACAAGCATCTACCACAACCAATTACATATTTTCCAGGGCATGTGAAGTCGAGCACACACAACATCTACCACAACACCAGTTACATATTTTCCAAGGCGTGTGAAGTCGAGCACATACATGAAAATGTGTGAAGCTGGACACATATGCAAAAACACAAGCATCTACCACAACCAATTACATATTTTCCAAGGCGTGTGAAGTCGAGCACATACATGAAAATGTGTGAAGCTGGACACATATGCAAACATACAAGCATCTACCACAACCAATTACATATTTTCCAAGGCGTGTGAAGTCGAGCACATACATGAAAATGTGTGAAGCTGGACACATATGCCAACACACAAGCATCTACCACAACCAATTACATATTTTCCAAGGCGTGTGAAGTCGAGCACATACATGTACATGAAAATGTGTGAAGCTGGACACAAGCATCTACCACAACCAATTACATATTTTCCAAGGCGTGTGAAGTCGAGCACATACATGAAAATGTGTGAAGCTGGACACATATGCAAACATAACAACATGTACCACAACACCAGTTACATATTTTCCAAGGCATGTGAAGTCGAGCACATACATGAAAATGTGTGAAGCTGGACACATACGCAAGCACTCAAGCATCTACCACAACCAGTTACATATTTTCCAAGGCGTGTGAAGATGGACACAATGCAAACATTATCTACCACAGACACAATGCACATATCACATTTAATCCAAAGTATAAAGTCAAGCTCAAACAGGCTCACTGCATGAAGCTGGACACATGCATTTACTTATGCATCTTGCAAAACTACCTCTGAACCTATATTCTAATAGATGTTTAAGCATTTTGTTTCTTTATTTTGTGAATATGTAAATTACACGATTATGCTTACAAGATGTCAACATTATTAACCTGTACATAAATACTCATTAGATAGCCTTTATTAGTTTAAATTGGAAATACTAGTACTTTGCCTGATTTATGTTGTGTAGTTTCTCATCAGTGATCTTGAGTAATAACTGAGTAAGGCATTTTTAGTTCCATTTAAACTGTGAAGTTTTGACACGTGTACATGCACAATAATATTGTATTGTATTTTAACCTTTTTTATTTCATTCTTTGTCATTTTATTGCCTGTTCTAGTAAAAGATGTAATCTTGTAATGTTTGTAACTGTTTTTGGTAGATATTTATAAAGCAGAAATTATAACAGAAAAGGTTTCAATATATCTAAACTAAAAGCAAATAAAAAAGAGCTCTCCATCTATCAGATATCAGCAAATCAGATAACTTAAAGGTTAAGTCATAGGGAATTTTAAAGTTTATTATATCTATATTCTGATATCTGGTACCATTTTTACATTTGTGATTTTCCGTCTACAGTATACAAAAATAGTATAAATTTTTATATTTTGTAGATGACAATCTCTAATACTAAATACAACTGGAAATTGATATAACGCGTGAAAATTTGTGTATTTTTAGTAAGATCGAGTTTAACAAAATGGGGTGGGGGTAACACAATAGACACATCAGATACCTATTTATTGAAAGTCAAAAACCATTTGTTGAAATCTTAAGTACGAGTGTATTAAACAAAAGCCAGTATTCAAGTAAGGATTTTAAAAAGTTTCATTATATATATATATATATATATATATATATATATATATATATATATATATATATATATATATATATATATATATATATATATATATATATATATATATATAACTTTAATGCAGCATTAAAGGTGAAAGGTTAGATTTAATTACCTTTTCGTGTAAGTAAAGGTTACCTTTTCACCTTTACTTTTTGTAAAGTTAATACAAAGATGACCTTGCTTTTTGGAGCACCTTTAATGAGATTTACTTTGCAAGTAAAGTTTTGTAAAGGTGTTTTTTCAAGCAGTGTAGTACTCATAAAAGTTAATGTCAAACCATGATATGAATGTTGTTGTGACTAGTGGTGTTCCAATCATCGATTATAATCGAAAATCAGTCGATTGTTGGCATAATCCAAGCACTCGATTACAAATTTTTTATTCTGATTAATCGGGTTATTTATTTTATTTTAAAAGTGTAATAGTTTTTAAGCCAAATATTCCAGCCGCAACTTTTCTATTAACTTATATGCATATCGTAATGGCACAGACAAAGAGACATTGTATTCATACCCGGGTAACAACGCTCATTCCTGGGTATGGACGTACTTTGGATTCTACAAAATGAGCGTAGAACCAGCTTGACTAGATAGAACATTCTGTCGTTAAAATGATATTGTCCTAAGGACTAGGGGTTGTTCCGAGACACAGTTATTCCAACTACAGCTGGACCACCACAGAAAGTAGTTATTCAACCATTCTTACCATTTAATAAACTAAAATTGACAGACTTTGTAAATGTCCGATTATAATTGATAATTAGTTAGTTACAGTAGCCTGATCATCGATTATGAAATTCTTACCAATTCCCATCACTAGTTGTGACATAAAAGTCTATTTTTAGAAGAGTTGGTCATTTCACCATGTTTTTGTCAAACGAAATAGGAAAAGTTTTAAATATGCTTCGAGTATAATCTTACCAAAATATGGAGTGAAGACCTACTCATATTTAAAAAGTATGATATAGGAGGAAAAAATGACCATTTTTGCCCTCTTTTGGTGTGTATCTGCTATTTCATAGATCAATAATATTAATCGTAAAGTATGATATAGGAGGAAAAAATGACCATTTTTGCCCTCTTTTGGTGTGTATCTGCTATTTCATAGATCAATAATATTAATCGTTATAAGATTGTAGCAAATTGCAAAGATTTTACATAAGGTATACAATAATGTTACATGAAGTATCAAAGAAAATTTTGACATGATTAAGATTTAACTTTTTACATCTTTTTTTGTCACACAATAGGCATTTACTTGCCTTGTTTGCCCATCATCTTTATCAGTAGATAAGGTTTATGATTCAGACAGCATCTGATAATGCAGCAATAAAATGTAAAATGATAGAAATAACTGCACTATGCTCTTATTCTTTCCTCAACTTTTTCTTCTATTGCAAGTTCTGTAAAAAAAAAAATCCAATTCGATAAACTACTAAACTGACAAAAACTCAATTTGTCAAGTTTCGGATTTTACCAGATTCATGAAAAATCTTGGCATACTGAACCTTTTTAGTGATTTATCTGAGAAAAGAGTGGTTAGTAACTTATTCGTTTTCATGTACCTGCTTGACTTCGACAGAAACGTTTTGGTACTAGAATGTGAAATACATACTTTTGTTATTACCTAAAATATTTCCATGACCTCAAATTCACCTATATTTCTTGCTGCTATTAAAGCCTGGTCAAGAAATAACGTTTCCCCTATAACAGGCATCAATTAACAAGGTTATGATTCAAAGTTTCAAAGTGTGCAGCTTGATTCACACAAAAGAAAAAAAAACATGACTGAACAGATTTACAAGTACTTGCAAAGAAGACTAGAAATGTGTCTTGATCGACATTTTCAGCCTAAGGTAAAGTCAGGGCATAGTCATGTAACATGTAACATTTTTCATGATGAATTACCTATATACAGTCCAATCTCATTATCTTAAACTAGATGACACAAAGTAAAAAATAATAAAGATGTTCCTGGGTTCCAGTAAAGAGTACTCAAATACCACTTAATCATACAGTGAAACCTGTGTAATCCGACATGCACTGGGAGACAAATTTTTTGTCGCAATAGATAGGGCGTCATATTGATCAGTGTAAAAAAACATAGAAAAAAGTAAAATGGGAATGAAATTTAACGTTGGAATTTACAGTGTGACGGATTGCACAGGTGTCAGATTAGACAGTTTTCACTGTACAATCATATAATTATGGAGATAACGAAGCTCAAGAGTCCATAGAAAAAATACAAATCAGGAGCAAACACGGACCACTAAAAACATCAGAGGTGGGATCAGGTGCAATATAGGAGTAAACATCTTCTGCCAATCATTCACATTTGATGTGTGCTCCTTGTCATGATCCGGAAAACGGAAAAGTCTGTAGACAATTCAATGTGTAACCAGACAATTCAATGTGTAAATAATGGCCAAACAATTAGTATTAAAAACATCAGTCCGCATTCGACTTACATGTAATGAAAGATTGTTTTTGCTGACAAGGTCATTGTATCGACCATAGC